CACCACCACCATCACCATCACCGCAGCAATTTATCTGTTTGTGTGCTACCGCCAGCTATGGTACAGCCCATTCTGCTGTGCTCTGTGTTCCTTATGGTGTCTTGTGTGATACGACAACTGTTGTGTTATGTGTATTTGTGCGTCTCCTCAAAAATGTCGTTTGTGCTGTGGTGTTGTCTCTAACTGACTTTTAACAAAGTGACTCATTTTTATCATTGTAAGAAACAGTGGTTTTGTAAAGACCTTGTGATACTGTCCCACACTGTTATGTGCCCAACTCGTTTTATGTCCTTGTCAATGTACTATATTGTCACTAATGCTTATTGTGTGACTAATAAATCATCATATTGTGCCTATTATTTTTATTGTGTTTAACTGTGGTTTTATCTGTTTGTTTTGTCCAATTATCATGAGTTCTGCTACATTATATGAGTCTTACATTAAACAGATGTTTGTCATAAGTCATAAATATATGTTGTGAAAATTAATTCTGATTAATTTGCCCTCAAATTCATAACCAAACTCTCTCTTGTGTCTTGTTAAGCTTGTGCTGTGCTCTTTTAAAAGACAACTGTTCAGTCTCAGCATTAACACTCAAGCATTAACCTACATTTAAATATGTATTAACTGTAGTGAACAGAGCATTTCCTAAAAATAGAAGATCTCATTAAATCACATATTGATACAATCTGGTGAACAGGATGAAGCATTATAAAAAAACACTTACACTTACTTACAAGTAATGTTTAACAAAATGATGACCTCAATGCATTTCAGTCCCCAAAGGCTGACCCGAGGGAAACCCCACCAATCAGGCCTCTTGAAAGTGATGCAGACGTAAGTATTCATATGTTGTCACATGGCTCTTCACTGTCACTGCAGTTATTTATCACCTTTTACACATTTCTCTCTGAGTAGACATCAGTTTGATTTTCCCTCCTCAGGCTGTGCTGACAAGGTTGTGTGGGTGTGACAAGCTACTACAGTCTCTGTCCTTAGAACTGGCCCAGCTACAAATGGATAAGGTCAGTCGTTACCTCATGCTATACATTTAAGGCTATTTAGATTTCTGACCAGTAAATGTATTTATGAAAAGTAATGCATTGGATGTGTAGGTGAGCTGATGGATTTAGTTAAGTCCCACACAATTCCAAAATTCAAACTAACCAAATAACTTGAGACGTGAAAAAAATACAAATACAGTTTTTTGTTGCACTCAACCCATGAAAACCTACTCAAATATCCCTTTTTACTGTATTCTGTCTTTTTGGCCACATAGCAATAGCAAACAGATTGTTACTGTTATAAGAAATTGTAAAGTCTTTTTTCCTGTTGCAGGACAGTGTCCATTGTGCGTTAGAGGTGTCCAGACTGCAGCTGGAAGAGTGGAAAAGTCAGGGGCCCAGGGCCCAGGAAGAAGCACTAACCCAGAAGGCATTGCTCCAGGAGGAGCTTGTCACAATCCGGGCCCGAATGTGTGATGTATCTTTGGTATGTAGTAATCCAGAGGGTAGTGAACCAGACATGAGTATGTCTTTATATTATATAATTTTCTCGTTTTATTTATTTATTTATTCAGGAAATGGAGAGGGTTTGGAGTCAATATGAGAGAATGGAGAGTGAACTGTCGGTTATCCGTTCTCACCTTCAGCACATCTGCAACTTTGGAGTGCCACAGGTATTTTTAAACTGCAAACTGGATACTTTTTCACTAATATATTAAGCTTGGTTAGCATATATATGTTGTGCATCTATTGCAAAACCACCTCACCCTTGTGGGAAATGGGAAATAATAAAATCTATGAGTGACTATAGCTCCTGACCTTAAAGTCACAAAGATCTTTCTACAGATCCTTAAGGCTCATGTCTGAAGATTTTTTTTAACAGGAGCAGTCCCAGGCCCAGAGAGAGCTGTGGATGATGGAGGACATCCTGGCTGGACTAAAGATCAACAGGGATCACTTCCGCTTCCTGTTGGGACTACAGAGGCACCACAGTAAGCATCAGCTCTCCCTCGCTGTAATGCGTAGAGTCTGAGGCTTGTTTCGAATTTTATGCTGTATAATTATGACTGTAGAGTGTAACAGTTTTTTACAGTGTGGTGGTTTCTTTAGTTTTGTCTTTTAGAGGATTATTAGCAGTATTAAGAATAAACCAGGCAATATTATATGTTAAAATATATCTTCTTAGCCTAAAGTACAAGGCTTCAATGCAGGAGACACTCTCAGTTCAGCCAAATTGTAAAAAATCCTCTTAGCACACACTAATGAATAAATCACGAGTTAAGTACAATGTGTGAATCTTTTCATCACCTTCACCTTCATCAGCCAATAAGAAATGTAAGTCTAAGGTCTGAATAGTGTGGTGATGTCATATTACATTCATTTTGGTTTTAAAGTCTTTTAAATTCCGACAGTGACTTCTTTGCTTCTTCCTTCCATTTGAGGCCGCCACTGGTTTATCCTGATTATGCACATGCAACCTGACAATAGACGAACAGTGTCAACACTCTGACCTTTTCTGTCTCCCCCTCAGCTTTCCAGCCGACAACTCCACATCCTGGATCGCCTGGCTCCCCCACAGAGAGGCTGCAGAGTGGACTGCCAATGGTACGACTCCCGTCCTTTGTCAGTGACCCCTGGCTTTTGCTCTCTGCTTATGAACAAACCATCCATTTAAAGCCATCCTCTGGCATTTGCTGAATAGATCCTTTGAGTCCTATAGGTGTTTTCTTACAGGTCTGTGATGCTTTAAATTGTACTACATTTCTTGTAAATCTTCTATTTCTGCTAATTTATTAGTGCTGTGATGGCTTTATATGATCTACTCTGATAAGTGGAGTTTGTCATGATGTCAGGCTACTAAGCTAATAATTTACCATAGTGGAACAGCATGATCCATATACAGAATCTAGTCTGTACCATTTTCTACCTTCATTC